GGGAGAAAGATGAGGCTTTCTACTCCCGTAAGGATTTACACCCTTGGAAACCCTGTACAGGGTCGCTATGGGTCGGAACCGACTTGACGGCACAACAACAACAACAACAACAACAACAGCTTCTAGAGAAGATTCCTAGCACAGACCACCAGTTCCCGGGGAGGGCCTCTCGTCACTGTCAGAACATTCTTACATTCCCTCAGGCTGATTGTCACTGTCTCATCCTGTCCACCACCTGCTGGCCTCTTGTCACCTCTGGTCACCTGGTATAGCATGAGCCCTGTGGGGTTTCCTCTGAGGAACACACTCCTGTGGTTCAGCTCAGAGGTTACTTGAGTAGACCTCTAGCCACCCACTCTCCTGAGCCACTTTTCACCTGTCCCCTCACCCCCAGGGCAATTCTGTCCCTGGGTACCTGCTGGGTTTCCTGGTCTCTGTCAGATGCTACCCTGCAGCCTGAGCCTTGTGGGCTGGGGACCTTCTTGCTCCCATGCCAGGCTGTTGTGGGTTATGGGACCAGTTTTTGTTCTCCTGGCCTTCTTGGAGTGAAATGGGGCAGAGAGGTTTCATAACCACCACCACCCTCCCACGTACCCACCCATGCTGGGAAAGAGGAGGCTTAGGGGAGGTTTTATGTGGTTGTTGGAGGGGGAGGGGGCCCTGGGCTGGGAGGAGGCGTCCTGTCTGTCTTGCCCTAGTTGTCCCCACCCTTTCCCGACTGCCTCTCTGGTGTAGGGGCAGCACTCCAGTGATGTCACTTCGGGTAGCCCTGTGGGTCCAGCCCGGTAACTGGAGCCCACTGTTCCCAGATCACCCTGACAACCATTGGCTATGGAGACAAGTACCCCCAGACCTGGAACGGGAGGCTCCTGGCAGCCACATTCACCCTTATTGGTGTCTCCTTCTTTGCGCTTCCTGCGGTGAGCCCCCTTCATATTTGGACTGGGTCACAGGCTGGGTGGTGTGGGGTACCCAGGGTGTCTTCCAGACTCATAGCTGACCACGGGTCCCTCAGGGACAGGAGACACTGGGGGGTCCACCACAGTAGTGGTAGGGCAGTTGCCCTGGGGGATTAGGGCAGCTGTGGGTCCCTAGGACGTGGTCTGACCACAGTGACTTGCAGGGCATTTTGGGCTCTGGATTTGCCCTGAAAGTTCAGGAGCAGCATCGGCAGAAACACTTTGAGAAGCGTCGGAATCCTGCAGCCGGCCTGATCCAGGTGAGTCCAGAGAGACTCTAAACGTCACTCAGTGTGGGGGTCCCAGGTCTATGGGACCATTCAGGGTGATGAGGGTGCCTAGAACATTGATGGAGCCCCCACAGCATTGCTCAGGGTGGTCAATCCTATGGGCAGTCTGGGCCATGAAAGTCACTCCTCACAGGCCAAGGATGAGGCACCTCATCACATCTGTGGCCTGGACACCAAGTGTCAAAATGGTCTGACGGGGCATTTGACCTCCAACTTCACAAGGTCAGTACCCAAGGCCACCTTGAGCTCAGCTGAGCCATGGACCAGCACCATCTTGCCCCTAGCTCACTCACCTGCCCAGATGCCCCTCAGGTGCCCCAATATCCAGAAGGAGCAGATGGGTTGTCCTAAATGGCACCCTGAAATGTGAGGGTAACTCTGAACAGGAGCTGGGAGACCAGGACTGCCTGGGGAGCTGGCAAGGAGCCAGAGACTCCTCAGCCCCCCCAGAGCCCTTGGCCTGGTGGACTCTCAGAGCGACCAGAATCTTCTACTGCCTGCTGTATACAGACCCGATCCCTCCCATGGAGCTCCTGTGGTCTTGGCCTTAGGTTACCACATTTATGTATCTCAACATCAACATTCTAAACCATTACTTCTTTCATGTGAAAGAGTATCTAGAACAAAAATGTCCCATAATCCCACAATCTTGCTGTTGTTCTTAGGTGCCAAGGCATAGATTTTGACTTATAGTGACCCTATATAGTTAATCTTTATGGAACAGAAAACCTCATCTTTCTTCTGTGGACTCAGTGGTGGATTTGAACTGCCGACTGTGTGGTTAGCGGCTCAGCACTTATCCTAGAGTGCCATCTGTGCTCTTTGTAATCTCACAGCATAGACATTAAAAAGAAATAGCCACATGTACACGTGGTTAATATGTTCAGATAGTGCAGGAATCAAAAGCACAAACGCCAACACCTTGACCTCCCCCTCCCTCCACGGCTCTCCAAGGTCATTCTTACCCCCCGGGAAGCAGTGTTGCCATCCGGTTAGCTCTGACTCACGGTGACCTCATAGGTGTCTGAGATCTGTGCTCCATGGAATTTTTAATGCTGAGTCTTCTGTGGTATTTTCAGGTCTGTCTTCTAAGCTCTGTCTGGGTGAACTTGACCCTCTAACCTTCCATTTAGCAGTCAGGGACCGTCCAGGGACACTCATGCCTCTGTGTCTGTCCTGTCAAGCTTTGCACCAGAGGGCAGTGTCCCGTGCTCTGCCACTGCTTTTCCCACTGTGGGGTCCTGAAAGACCTTCCCTGTAAGGACACACTGTGGTCTCAGGGCTGGACTGTGGGGACTTCCTGAAGGAAGGACACAGCAGAGAAGTCCCCAGTACACTCCATAAGACCGGAGTCACAGTGGCTTTACTGAGTCAGAGGAGCCTAGTTGGTGCTTTTTTTCTTTTTAACTTTTTATTGTGAATTGAGTGAAGGATGATCAGCTTTACATTCAACCAATCATGCACTTTGTTTCATCTCAATGATTACAATCCCCTCACTGTAACAACAGCTATCCAGCTTCCTCCCTGTGGTTCCCCATTTACATCTTATATTTCACAAATGAACTAAGCAAAAATATTTGATGTACACATACAAAACAAAAAATATATATTTAATATTCATTTAAGTGTCCAGTGGACATATTCTGCAAGCCAGCCTCCTGCCTGCAGGCACACATCTCAATGTCAATGCGTGTCACTGGGACATGGCCAAACGCAGCCCAGGCCTTCACTGCTGCATTTCCTCCACTTCCACTCACAAGTAGACCCAGCTAGCTGCCAGCAAGCTTACTAGAATGATTGTGGGTTCCCTGAGAGTTCAGTCTTAGAAGGGGGTTTTCCATGATGGGCTGACTTCTCTTGCCATGAGACCTCCAAAGGAAACAGCTTGCTTGATATTGAAATTGTCAAATAGTATCCACTTTTTTTTCTGAAGGTCTTTCTTTCCATAAGAATCTTCTGTTCTCCCAGCAGTTCTGGATTGGTTTGCATGTCTTTTCAAGTGGGACTGTCCCAACTCAGAAGTTTCTGGGTGAGGCTCAGGATTCCACCTAAGGCCCCATACTCTACAAAGGCTTAATAAGAAGCCTGTTATCCTGGGAAAATTCTAATTCCCCTTTTAGCACATCCAGTTAGTTATAGGCTGAAGATGGACTTATAAGTTTTCTGTAATCATAATTCCTAACATTCATTTCTATCACACATAAATGTCCATTTGACAGTAATGGGCAGGAGAAACCAATCCTCACAAGACAGACAAACACATAAACATTGTCCCTTCTTTACGTATTCAGCCTGTGTCTTCTGCTACGTCTAATTGCTTCTGATGGTCCCTCTGGAAGAGGCTTTTCTTTCTTCTGAGTCTGGATCAGAAGCTATGGCTGTTAGGAAAACCAGTCATCCTACTGGGTGGTAAGGCTGACGAGGGAGGAATAGCTGCTTTTCTAAGAGGTCTGTAAACTGGCCTGCTTCCTGCTTCCTGGAGAAGCAAAGGTTCCAGAGGAGGGCCTAGGACCCTCCATGCCCCCATGGCCTATGAAGACTGTGTCCTCCCAGAAGCTAGGAGTCTTCTCCTAAATATAAAAGCCAATATTATGGCATTTTTGGTTTGTAACTCCCTATTTTTCTCCTGTATGACTTCTAAAACAATAATAATGTATCTACATTAATAAGTGCACAATGTATAAAGAGAAAATTCATGAGAAAAACAATGGTGGGACAGAGTTGTATAGAAGTAGAGATTTTGTGTCCTGTTGAAGCTGAGCTGGTATTACTTCAAGCGAGGTTGTTATAGATTTAAGAAATGAATTGTAAACCAGAGTAATCACTAAGAAAATAGCTAAAAGATATACAGAAAAGGAAATGAGAAAGGAATCAAAACTGTACACTGGAAGGAAATCCAATTAAAGACAAAAGGAGTCAGTCACAAGAGGACTGAGGAACGGAAGACGTAAATATGATATATAGATAGCAAATAACAAAATGGCAGACAACTTTTTTTTTTAAAAAACTGTTTTATTATGAATTATGTGATAGTTTACATGGGAGAACATTAGTTTTACATTCATCCTATCGGATATCATTACATTGCCATGGTTATGATCCCTTCCATGTATCATCAGCCAACCAAAGGGTATACCCCGCAAGCCTGTGCCCTGGTTGTCAGCACACAGCCCCTCGCCCTCTCTGAGTCTAGAGTTCCCAGCTGCTCCATCTCTCCACGCCATCGTCTCTGCCTCCATCTCTGGTGTCACTGTTTCTCTGGGTAGGGTCCTGCACTCCGCTCTTGGCCCTTGATGGTTCCAGGGACCTTCACTCCTGGACTGCAAAGTCAACCACTTCCTTCCTTTTGCTACAAAATGTCTACCTTTACATTTCCAACCCTCACAAGCAGTCCTGATAACAATTATTCACTATTATATCACAAGAGACCTATCCGCATTTTCTTTCATCAGCCCCGCCTAGACAGATTGGATACTACCCAGTGAAGATTCTACCTTCCTCCGAGCCCTCTGAATCTAGGCTCCCTCTTGAAAGCTTGTAAGCCAGTCACTTCTTGCCTTTGTAGCTCCCCCTCCCCCCACATTTTGGGTAGCCAGTGTCCAAGTTGCCCATCCCTGTCTACCCTGTGTATGAAGGGGGTGGGAATGATCCTTGCTGTAAAGATTTGTTCCCTCTTTTGAGCTACTGCATCCATAGGTGTAGGTCAAGTTCATCAAATTGTATCAGATTACTCTTTTTTTCTTCTTCTTTCTTCTCAGGTGACTTTTTTTTTTTTTTTTTGTGCCAGTAGTGACTTTTAATGTAAATACATGAAACTCTTCAGTTAAAAGTAAAGATTGGAAGAATTGTTTAAAAAACATGATCAAGCATATGTTGTCTTAAAGAGACATATTTAGATACAAAGAGAGTGAAAGTAAAGGACAGAAAGATGCACTTCATGCATATAAGAACCAAAAGAGAGCAATGACTATGCTAATATCAGACAAAACAGATTTTAAGTCAAAACTGCTACAAAAGACAAATAATGACAAAACAACATGTGATAATTATAAACATGCATTTGTTTAACAAAGAGTGCCAAAATTGGTGAAGAAAACCTGGCAGCTTTGAAGGGAGAATCAGTTCAACAATAATAGTTGGAGACTTCAACATCCCACTTTCAATAATGAATAGGACACCTATGCCAAAGACAAACAAGGAAGTCTTGGACAGCAACTAGATCTAACAGACACACATAGAGCATGCCACCCAATAGAAGAATACACATTCTTTCATTGTACACATGATCATTCTCCAGGAGATTCTAGATCACACAGATCTCAGTACATTTCAATGATTGAGATCACACAATGGAATGAAATGAGAAGGCAATACAGAGGGAAACCTGGAGAAGTCACAAATTTGTGAAACTTGAACACCCTATTTTTAAATAGCTCGTGGGTCAAACATGAAATCGTAAAGGAAATTATAAAATACTATGATAAAAAATTAAAAGCACAGCATACCAAACCTTATGCAACGCAGGGAAAGCAGTGTTCTGAAGGGAATTTATGTCTTTAAATGCCTACATTAAAAAACAAGGAAAGAGCTCAAACCCATAACGTAAAACTACGCCTCAAAGAACTGAAAACAAGACTAAACAAAGCAAAAGCTAACAGAAGAAAGAAAAAGAAGTAAAGATTAGAGCAGAACCAATTGAAATAGAGAATAGAGAAAAATAGAACCCACTAAAGCAAAAGTTGGTTTTCTGTAAAAATTAGCAAAGCTTACAAACCTTTAGATAAAGCCAAATGACTAAAATCCGAAATGAAAGTGGAGGTACTGCTGCTGATCTTACAGAAACAAAAACAATTTTAAGAGGTTACTCTGAACAATTACATGCCAACACATTAGGCAACTTACACAAAATGGTCAATTTCCTAGAAGAACACAAACTTCCAAAACTGACTCAAGAAGAAATGCAAACCCTAAATTGATGCGTAATAAGTAAGGAGACTGAGTACGTAAAAGGGTGGGGGAGGGAGACTTCCTACAAAGAAAAGCCCAGGACCAGTGAAGTGACTTAACTTCACTGAGGAATTCTACCAAATATGTAAAGAAGAAATTAGTACCAATCCTTCTTAAACTCTTGCAAAACAAAAAAGGAGATCATATTTGTGTCCATTCCAAAGAGAGGTGACCCAACTGAATGAGGAAATCATCAGACAACATCATTAATATCACATGTAAGTAAATTTTTTCTAAAGATAATTAAAAAACGGCTACAACCACACATTGACAGAGAACTTCCAGAGGTTCAAGAAGAGGATGTGGAACAAGGGATAGCATTGCTGATGTCAGATGGATCTTGGCAGAAAGCAGAAAGGTGTTTACCTGTGTTTTATTGACTATGTAACGGCTTTCTATTGTGTGGATCATGACAAACTATTAACAGCATTGCTGAGAATGAATATTCCAGAACACTTAATTGTGCTCACGATGCACAATTATATAATAGACCAAGAGGCAGATGCATTCTTTCACTATACTTAATTTATATGCTGAGCACATAATCTGAGAAGCTGGCTTATATGAAGAAAAACGTGGCATCAGGATTGGAGGAAGACTCATGAACAACCTGCCATATGCAGATGATACAACCTTGTTTGTTGCAAGCGAAGAGGACTTAGAATATTTACTGATGAAGATCAAAGAGCACAGCTTTCAGTATAGGTTACTCCTCAATGTAAAGAAAACAAGAATCTTCACCACTGGACCAATAAGCAACATCCATATTAATGGAGAAAAGATTAAAGTTGTCAAAGACTTCATTTTGCTCAGATCAAACCATCAAAACTCATGAAAGTAGCAGTGAAGAAATCAAACCATGCATTGCATTAAGCAAATCTGCTACATAAGACCTCTTTCTTGAAAGTGTTGAAGAGCAAAGATGTCAGTTTGAAGACTAAGGTGCACCTGACCCGAGCCATGGTATTTTCAATAACCTCATATGCATGCGAAAGCTGGACAGTGAATAAGGAAACCATAGAAGAATTGATGCATTTGAGTTATGGTGTTGGAGGAAAATATTAAAAGTACGATAGACTACCAAAAGAACAAACTAAAAACTAATCTCTGTTGGAAGAAGTACAGTCAGAATGCTCCTTGGAAGTCAGGACGGCCAGACTTTGTTTCTCATACTTTGGACATATTGTCAGGAGCGATCAGTCTCTGGAGAAAGATAACATATTTGGTAAAATGGAGAGTCAGAGAAAAAGAGGAAGACCCCCAGTGAGATGGATTGCCACAATGGCAGTAGCAATGGGCTCAAATGTAGCAATGATTGTGAGGTTGGCGTAGTACCAGGCAGCGTTTCGTTCTGTTACACATAGGGTCACTACGAGTCGGTTCTGACTTGATGGCACCTAACAACAACAACAACAAGGTTACACTGATATTAAAGTCATTCAAAAGCGCTACTGCAAGAAAACTAGATACCAGTGTCCCTTAGGTAAACAGCCTCAAGAATTTGGTATTAATATCTTGCAGGATTTGCAAATCAAATCCTGCAGGATATTAAAAATTATACCCCATGGCAAGTGGAATTTATTCTAGGATTGCAAGGGTGGTTCAGCAGAAGAAAATTAATGTAATGCTTAATAGGAAAAAAAAAGAGCTCATCACTGTGACTTGGACCTGCTAGGGGAGTTGTTGGGGATTTGTTAGGGACTTGTTAGGGGTCCTGCTAGGGGACTTGTTGGGGAGTTGCTAGGGGACTTGTTAGGGGATTTGTTAGGGACTTGTTAGGGGTCCTGCTAGGGGACTTGTTGGGGAGTTGCTAGGGGACTTGTTAGGGGATTTGCTATTTCCTTGGCTCCTGGCTCAGGATCTGTTGTGCTCCTGGTCCTTGGAGAGGGAGGTGGGTCCTCCCGTGGGTTCTGTTCCTCAGGCCCAGTCTCTCAGTGAAACTTGCTCACCCTCTCATGTCCCCTCTGCAGTCTGCCTGGAGATTCTATGCCACCAACCTGTCGCGAACGGACCTCCACTCCACCTGGCAGTACTATGAACGCACCGTCACTGTGCCCATGTACAGGTAGCGTCCTGCGCGCCGTCCCCTGTCCCCTCCAGCACCCGGCCTCTCCGTGTGATGACTGTAGCACCGTTTCTGTTTAGACTCCATTTTTCTTACACCAGTTTTTATTTGTTGTTCATTGTTTTGAAATTTTTGGTTTCCTTTTTCTTTTCAATGTATGTCTTGTATTTTCCCAAATGGGACTCTGGTTTGTTTCCAGGTCATTTGTCTTTTGTGCTGTGGGTTTTGTTTGCACCCCATCCCTCTGCTCCCTTTTGGCTTTGACAACCAACCATTGGCTTGGTTCCACTCTGGACATGCTGACACCTGGCTGGGGGTCCCGGGTAGGTTCCTTGAGCTTTAATAACATCAAGAACATCTTGACCTTCCATCCACAAAGGAACAGGGCCCTTGTGGGAGGTGAGGAGAATGAGCCCCGTCCAAGGTAAGCTCTGGGTGCCAGGACCAGGAGGTACACTCCTTTAAGTTCCAGGAGACCTCACAGAGCACAGCACACAGATGCCTAGGGAGCAGCTGAGCTCCTGCCGGCACAGAATCTGGGTCATTGTGGTCAGTGGGCCCCACTTCACAAGAACATGAGGTCAGTAGGTCCAAGCACACACTATCACCTGGGATTTGGGCCCACCTGAACCTGGGCACTTCCCAGGCTCAGTTCTCCTTATGTGTGTGAGGACTTTTTGTCCACTTGGAGGCTTCATGAATGGGGTGGGGTACCTTTCTTAGGCTGGGGACAGGCTCTTCTCCAGGGTTGGCTAGGTTGAGGCCAAGCAGAAGCCCCATCCCATTTGCCTCCCTTTCACACCCCTGTCTTCCACCCCCCACCCCAGGGTCAAGTCACCCAGAAGAGGAAGGTTACTCTTCTTCATTATCCTTTCTACCAGACAATTTCTAGGTTCTGGGGTGTTTGGCCCTGGGGACTGAGCACCACCCCACTTTTGAGAACAGGGACCCATTAGAAGAGCTGTCCTTTGGTGAGGTGTTCAGGGACCCCTGGGTCAGTGGGATGGAGAGCATGGGTCAAGCTAATTTTCTTTGTTCTGTTGTTTTCCCCACTTTCCTTGACCTTTTTTTTTTCTTTTCATTTTCTTTTTCTGATCCCGTTCTATTTCCTTTCTTTTCCCTTTGTGTGTGTGTGTGAATACTTGAAAAGCTCACAAACCCAAACGTACGGGGCCTCCAGGTAGGAACGCATGTGAACTGTGAACGGCCCTTGTGGTGTGGTCTCTTGTTCTGTGTGGGGGCTGTCGGGAGCCTGGGAAGCCTGGCCCAGAGCCCGGCAGTGACATCCCCGGGCCCCACCCACACTGGAAAGTCAGGCCAGAAGACAGTTCACCTCTACACCCCCTGGAGCCCACAGTGGGCCCCCTTCCTCTTCCCTGAATTGACCCCCGCCCCCACAGAGCCGCTTCCTGCTACTGGTCCCATCTGTCTTCTGCTCCTGCTGCTCCCTCCCTGCCTTGTCTCAGCTCTGCAGTCCTTCCCTGCCCCCGGGGAGGTTGGAGTGGCAGAGATGGGCTGTCTGCAGGCCTAGCTCCTGGCCCCAGGTCTGGGGGCATAGGCACTTCCCAGACTAGAAGGAACTTCCTCTGTTCCTGTCAGCAGGATGGCTGGGACCCACAGAGATGTGTGAGGGGGTGCTCCTCTGGACCCCTGTTCAGGTTCTCCCTTTGTGGGACCCCCTCCTCCCACAGCCTCTCAGAGCAGCAAGAGGGAGCAGAGGTGGGTCCTCCACGTCTTCCTGCTGCCCTGGTTGATACATTGGCACCACGTGACTCACCTGAAGGGGGGACGTATAGGGAGTGTAATGCTGCAGGCTGCATCACTCCAGCTTCAAGGGTCCCCCCTGTAGACCCTGTAGAATGAACACCCAGGATGAACCTCCTGTGGATGGTAGGACCCCTGGGGCATCTCCCCAAGGTGCCCCTAGACTGCTGCCTGCAGAGCTCAGAGGCCTCATCAGGGAGTTGGGATCTTCCAGCTGTTGGACTCCTGGGTTCTTAAGGCAGGTTGGGGGCTCCTCCTTCAGGTCCTGGCAGGCTCCTTGCTGACCTGAGAAGGTTGCTTCTGTCCATCTCCTCTGCAGAGAGCCCACCCCCAGGAGTAAGCTGCTTCAGTATGTGGGAAGTGGCCCCTTATGGCCTGGTAGCTGGAGCTGTCCACTGAAGCTGGATGTCTCCTTGTAGTGCCCTGAAGCCAGTGCTGGCTTCTCCCGAGGGGGGGAGTCCCTCCTCCTCAGCCAGCAGAGCACATCCCCTCTTCCCCTCTTCCCTGTCTGCACGTTGCAGCTCAGCCTTCACTGGACACCCCCCGGGGCAAGGCAGGGCTGTGAGCATGTGTGGTGTGTAATGTGTGGTGTGTGCACGGCTGGGCTCCAGTCTGTCCTCGGTACGGCTGCTTGTTAGGCATGTCCTGTTCTGCTTTGAGGTACTGACCCCATGTTTAACCTGGATCCCTGTTCCTGCCTATTTGTGGTGGTGGATCTCACCTGGGTGGTCTGCAGCTGATTAACCCACCACCCCTGGGCTTTCTGCTGAGCATCCTAACCTATACATAACCTGAGAGGGGAGAGAACGTGTGTGCTTGGAGGGTTTACAGGCTCTCCCCCACAGCCAGCCCCAGCCTGGGGCATGTGCTGGGGCAAAGGGGGCAAAGGAGCCAAGCTGTGGGGCAGCAAGAGTAGTCTGATGGAGCTCATAGTGCCCAGGAGAGAGACACAGATATAGTCTGATGGAGCTCACAGTGCCCAAGGAATCTCAGATGTATTCTGATGGAGCTCACAGTGACCAGGGAGAGAGACACAGATATAGTCTGATGGAGTTCACAGTGACCAGGAAGACATGGGTATAGTCTGAAAGAATTCACAGTGACCAGGGAGACACAGATGTATTCTGATGGAGTTCACGGTGACCAGGGAGACACAGGTGTCATCTGATGGAGTTCACGGTGACCAGGGAACCTGGGCAGGGCCCTGGAGTTGGGCAGGCTTGGGAATGGAGGCTGGTGGAGGGAGATCTTATACAGGGCATACCCACTGAGCTCAGGGGTACTGGAGAGAAAACAAGAATGGAGAAGAGCCAGAGAATGAGTTAAGGCTGCTTTTTGGGACATGAGTGCCAGGTAGAATCGGTGCTTCATTTTGAAGATAGCAAGGGCCCATGGGATGTGTTTGAGCAGGGTAGTTAGTGACACAAAGATCTGAAGATCTAGGAGAATGGGGAGGGGACAGTCAGAACTGAGAGGCTAGGAAGGAGAAGAGGAAGGAGATTCTGCTGCCCACTCAGGAGTCAGCAGGAGTAATGTGAGGCCCCTACTCTAGCCTTGGGGAGAAAGCACACAGCCCACATTCTGTGGTCCCCTGATCTCAGGTCACTTGGGGCTCTGCAGGGCCAGTGTTTGGGGGAGATCGAAGCTTGGGTGTGTGGCTTTCACAAAGGGGGACACAGAGGAGAACCTTACTCTCCCAGGTCAGATGTGCTCTTTGGTCAGTCAGGGCAAGAAGGACAGATAAGACAGGTGGGTGTGGAGGCTCTGGGTCCTGGAGTTGCCTGGAGGATTCCTGTGGTAGAGAGGAGAGGCAGGGTCTGGAACCTGGGGTTGGATCTCAGGAGGGAAATCTGCTTCGTGGAGACAAGGTGTGAAGCTTAAGTACAGGAGGTACTGAATCTGGGACAGAGGCACTGTCCGGCAGGGTGACTTATCTGGGAGGGGCTTGGAGCAGAGCCAGGCCAGCTTGTGGGGGTCTCTGTGGTATTTGGCCTGATGGTGAGGGCTCTTCACCAGTGTTACACTCTTCAGTCTTGAGTGGGCTTCTGCCCAGCAAAGCCCCTTTCTATCACCTTTAAGTCCCTCTCCTAGCTTAGGCAGAGGGACTCTGTGGAGAGGGGGTTGTTGTTGTTGTTGTTAAGTGCCATCAAGTCGGTTCCGACCCATAGCGACAGTGGAGAGGGGGTAGGACCCTAAATATATTGGGGTGCTGTTTTACAGTTGGCATGCTCCTGGGATGTTAGGGAAGAAGAAGGGGGTGGTGAGAGCAGGAGGCTCTGCCTCACCCCCACTGGGGTCCCCACAGCCCACCCCTCTCTCCAAGTCTGCCCCATTCAGTCTGGAGGAGGGGAGAGGAGGCGAGGGGAGCTTCCTAGTCCATGACTACCCCACTTCTCCCCAGGCTGATCCCACCACTCAACCAGCTGGAGCTGCTTCGGAACCTCAAAAGCAAATCTGGTCTCACCTTCAGGTCAGTAGTGGTGGCCTCAGGGATGATGGGAAGAACTGGGGTGCAGGGGTGGAGCTGAGCCAGGGGATGGGCTGGGGAAAAGCCAAGAGTTTGGGGAGCTGAGGGAGGAAGAAACCGAGAGGAGGAGTGCCAAGGGAGGGACCACAGCAGGGAGGGGTGGATGGCAGAGCTGGGGCAGGCCTGGGGAAGGGGGCCCCGAGGAGTGAGGATGGGGTAGCTCCATGCTGGGGGTAGTCTCGGCTGGGTTAGGGAGCGAGGCCTAGGGGAGGGCCTCTACACAGGGGGTGGGGCCAGGGGCTAGTAGAGGGCCCCAAGTTTGTGGGGGATATGCTTATCCTGTGGGGTGGGGGAGCCTGGCACGCAGGGAAGAGCCTCGCTCTGAGGCCCTCTTTGGTTGGATGGGTGGTCCTGCCCACCCCACATGCCTTAGGCCTCTCAGAGTGACCTAACAGCTGCCCAGTGGTAAGCTTGCCCCAGTCGAGCTGCCCAGGAGGCACTTGGGGTGAGTGTGAGGGCAGCTCCACTGGGGTATGTGTGAGCCCACGCTCCTGCAGGGATGGGGGTCCGGTCTGTGGCCAGAGCACGTGGGGCTCCTTGGGCTCCCGGGCTGGATCTACCGGTGCATTAGGGGAGCGTTGGGAGTCTTAGCCATCCACAGGGGCCTTCTGTCTGGAGTGTGGGTCTCAGCCATGCAGACAGGGAGCTCTTGGTATGCTGGGGTTTACAGGCTGAGTAGGCATGGCACCACATCAGGGCAGAGGAAGTATCCCCTTCTTCCCCCAGTCCACAGGGAGAAGTCAGGCTCCCTATGCTAGTTGGGCCCCAGAGGGCAGGGAGTGGGCTGTGAGGGACCCTGCCGGGATGAGCCTTGTTCTCAACGACCCCAGCACATGCAGGCTTTGGGGCCATTTTGCCTCTGCCATGTCAGCTTTGCTCTGTCCCTGTCAGAGGGACTTGGTTTGTGTCTGGAAGCATTTGGAAGCATGGATGGTCCACTTAGTAACCAGATCTACCTGGACATTGGTCCTGAAGGCCCAGGTGTTGCCTTGTAATCTCCTCATGGGTCAACAAGTAAAAATCCAAGCCACCCAGCTCTTTCTCATTTCTAGTGAGTGTTACATTTAGAAATAATCAATCCCCAATAAGATTGGTCGGTCACACCAGCCTTGCAGGCAGAATGAGGCCTGAGAAGTTGCCTTAGTCCTATTGGGATTTCAGGGGCACCACACTTGTTCTGCCTGGAGTGAAACTGTCAGCTGATTCCAGCCTCCCTTGCTACATGAACAAGAATAATTCCATTAAGTGAAAAATGGAAAGGAACCACACACACATTAAAAATCAGAAACAGCTCATTGTGTACAGAAAATTGATTGTGGAATTAAACTGTTCTCTTAGAGCTTTCTCCGTAAAATGCCTCCATGTGGAAACGCTATGAGCCGTGGTTCTGATTTCAACGAGTGTCCACCACTCAGGGAAGGGGATGTGTGACCTCAGGGTGAGACCACCCTGTGGTTTCCCCTCCAGAATTCCCCCTTCCTCGAGCTCTGGCTCCTCTGACCCTACAGGACAGGGGCTCCTAAGGCTGGGAATGCCTCTGAGCCTGCCTGACCTGTCTAAGTAAGCCCCTCACATGGGGGTGTGGGGACAGAGCCAGACCTGAAGGGGCTGGTGGGCTGAGTGAGCCCTTGGTGGCTATCAGGGTGGGATGGCTCCTTTTCCTGGACCACTGGGCTCAATTTGGGGGGCATGACCCTACCAGCCAGTGACTAACTTTTGATCCTCTGTTTAAAGGAAGGAGCCCCAGCCGGAGCCATCGCCAAGGTCGGTACCCCTCCCACTGCTCTTGTGTGCGCTGTGTCTGTGTGCACCAGTGTGTTATCTGGAGCGGGCTCGGGTGTGTGCAGGCCCGGAAGCTCCCTTCCTGCATCCACTGCTCCTCCTCCAACTTGGACTTGTTCTGTATCATTAGGGTGGGTGGCTGGGGGCTTCTTGGTGGGCTCCCCCACCTGCCCACAAAACCAGCCCCAGGACTGAGTTCTCAGTCTCCTCCTGACCAGCTGCCACAGGGAACTCTAGGGCACGTAGGTGGGGGTGGCTGCAACTGTCTGGATGGTCCTCCTGCTTGTGTACAGAGGAGGTGGGGGGAGGTCTTCTGAACAAGCACAGTGCAGACCGGAGTTCCGTGTCCTTCCACCTGTGGTACCTCAGTGGACACTTCCAGCCCCTCCTTCTCGGGCGCTTGCCCCATGCCAGGGACTGGCCGACTGGCCTGGCTGTGTTAGGCAGGTGCTGAGCTATGAAAATCCCAGCCTGGGGAGAAGGGTGGGAAAACTACTCTTCTAGAATCCCAAGGCTGCCTGACTCCAAGCCTTCTTGAGGCTGCCTGGGGAGACTTGGGACGGCAGGCCCCTCTTCACCTGTAGAGGGGACATGCCTCTCCTCCATGCCCACCCCAAGAAGGGGCATGGTGGGGCCTTGACTTGGAAAGGCTTTATCACTGAGTGGAAATTTGCAGACGCACTGTGCCCATGGCGTGGACTCAGTCCTACTTACTGACACTGGTCTGTCACTGCCCTTGGTGCGTGGGAAGGAGAGCGTCCTGTGAGCTGGGGGTAGAGAAATGCCCATCACCATCTCCTTGTCACTGCCCTGACTTTCCATCCGGGAGTCAGCTAGAGAGGAGGCTGACCGTGGAGGGAGAAGGCCCCTCCCAAACCATCTCGGACTGCAGGGGGAAGGTGGCCAGGAGCCCGACTCCTCCACCTGCCTGAGGTCTTGTGCTTGTCGCCATGGCTTTAATCCCTTCCCAACAATTTCGTCTCAGCCTCTCTCTCTTTTCTCTCTCTCCCCCTCTTCTTTCCCCAATCCGGAAACTCTTGCCTCCCACTCCTAAGTGCTCTTATTCACTGCCCCTGCCCTGCCCGGGGCCCTGTCACGCCTGCTCTGTCTGTGGGGATGAGGTGGTGGCCTGAAAGCAGGCCTCCAGGTGAGAACACAGGTGAGCCCTCCAGGGTTCTCTGTGGAATATTCTGGGCCCTGCCCCCTCCAGGGTTCTCTGTGGAAT